GTACTCCTAGAAAAAATTGCGCGACGCCCAAATCCTTGATCTCTAGGGATATTATGTCTTCGAAAAATTGTCCGACAACTTCGTTCGTCGTACTGGTGATCAGTAAATCGTCGACGTAAACACCGACGACCGTCACATTGTCGTAGGTTCTTTTGACGTACAAACACATGTCCGTAGTGCACTGCTTGAGGTTCAACTTGACCTACTTGAAGTTCAAAAGCTTGCTCCGAAGTCTGCCTGCTTGCTTTAAATCGTAGAGTGATTTCTTCAGAATTAGTGCTAGACGTCTTTAGTTGTCGACTTCATGTTGATTCAGGTGGCCTGACCGACATTCATCCCTTTACGTATGTGCATGTATATGTCAAGTTCTTCCTCATGGTCTGCCTTCACGTAGACATTTGGGACGTCCCCGTTCCTTGCAGGTACATTCCATCTACGTGACAGGCCCAGTATCACCCTGACTGTTCCGAGCTCCATGAATGCCTCAAAATTCAAAGTATAGTCAACTCCGGAGAGTTTCTTGTTATTACATGCGACCATTCATGCCTTTGTACCTTTCCACATTTCTATAAGCATCATTCTTCGTCTTGAAGATCCGGTTATTGAGGAGGATGTGCGATCCTTCAGACGGGACGACTACGGTCCATACGCCATTTTCGTCCAGAGCTTGCAGCTTCCTTGACGGCTCTAGCCCACTTGTCCTTACCGGAGCTTCGAGTTGCTTCTCCATAATTTCTCGGATCTTGTTCCTTGACAGTGCTGACAACTTCAATAGCTTCGGTATCGAAAACTTCATCACTTGAGCTGGTCTGCTTTCCTCGTGTTCATCGTGTCATATGACGATCAAGATTCCCTCCTGAAGATCGTCTTGTCTTCTTGCTGTAGTCGTACTTGACATCATGCTCCTCCTAAACGACAATACCTTGAAAGTCGTTCATTGTTTCGACGCTTTGAACGTGTTGTGTTACCGCAACGACGCGCTACTTGGGTATGTAGGCCTGATAGCCTTTCAACTCATCATTTTTCTGCTGATGATAGCGGCTTTCCCGCGTGCACTTGAAGACTTGTTCGAGGTCTTTAGGTTTACGGTGCTGGGAAATCCAAAAATCACTATGTCACGCAGTTCAGGTCGCTTTCCTGTCAACACTTCAACCGGTGAGCATCCACCTTCATTCGCTGTCGTGGGGCTGCGGTTTAGGATATACGCTGCACACTCAGCAGCACCCCCCCCAACATGTCAAGGGTAGACCACTTGCAAAAACCATGCTTCGCACCATATTCATGATGGTGCGATGCATCCTTTCATCTTTTCCATTGCTGGATTGGTTTTCACGTTCACTAATCTGGCGTGACATCCCAGAATGCTTGCAAAACACGTCCAGAGGTTTGTACTCGCCTCCACGGTCCGTGCGTAGGTCATGATCTTGGCAGATAAAACATCGTTCAAAAGTCACCAAAAAATGCTTGAAGTGCATTTCTGCAGTATCCTTGGTCTTCGCGAGGAATACCCGGCAATAGTTCGACATATGGTCAATAAAATTGACGAGGTACCTATTGCCGTGACGGTCACGAAGTTTCATAGGACCTTTAAGGTCTAAACAAACCACGCCTCCGATCACGTCAACAGGTGAGTTCAACCCAGTGTCCTTCTTCGATTGACGGTTCTTAGTCTGCTTGCCTTGTGCACAGGCCAGGCATTTGACACGCTTGGTATCAGTTAATTTGATACCATAGACAGGGTCCCGAACCATCTTCAGGATTTTGTCGTAACAGAGGTGTCTGAGACGCTGATGGAAGTGATACAAAGTTTCAGCTTGGATATTTGCATCGATTTCAGATCCAACACTCTCCACGATCGTCATGATAGCATCTCTTGGTGATCCATATCCATGACAATCATCCTTCGAGTTGTTGTTAAAACCCTCAACAACCTACACATCATTGACGCGGTCAACATACATAACCGGTGCTCCACCAGGATGAGAAACCATTACACGCCTCCCTTCACGATATTCAATAACGCACACCTTCTTCTCCAATTTCTCAAAGGAGATGATGTTACGCTCCAGGTTGGATGCGTATTGGACATCGAGAAGTCGGATGGTTTCAATCAATCCAAGTGCTTTGGCTCGGATCACCACACTTTCTTGTTTAGTGATCCTAAGTGGTCCACTGTCAGAAGCTGCTGTGAAGCATTCCGTGTTGCATTCAACTTCATTCTATAGCAAGCAGAAGTAGTTAATCAAGCGACGACCTGAGCCGCTATCCATAACCCAGTGGTTCAGACGATTGTCACCATCACCATGCACAGCCGAGACGAAGTCCGCGTCTTGATTATCTTTTTCAACCTTGGGCAAGATATCTTGAGGTGACCAACCTTGTCACAATGGTAGCATTTTCTTGGCCCTTGCACGTCGTAGCGTTTCTTGAATGATTCAACCTTCTTCGGTTTAGCCATTGGATCGACGACGCTGACAACGTCTCGACCGAAGTGCTTCACTCGAACCTTGATCTCCGTCGATTGAGCAAATTGTGCTAGCGCTTCCGCTTGGCGTAGGTAGTCCAATCTGTTCAGGTTCAACCGAGATAACATTGTCGTGCGCATCGACAGGTCGGCATAATGCACGATGTTATCCAAGACCAGATTATCCACACCACCACACGCATCACTGACAGCCGTCAGGTACAAAAAATGTTCCGTTCAACTGCGTTGAGGCGACTTGGCCGCAGTGAATAGTTTCATGCTTTGAGCCGGAGTGATCTTGGTCATGAGTGTTTGGAGAAGCCGTTGCATGGCGTGCTCCAGAGTCACACTCTCAGTCCACCGAGTCTCGACTTGTCGACGGTAGTACTTCTGCGCGGTGCCCGCGAGGTGTTGACCGAGGAAGTTGACCTTGATGTCTTCGGGTCATACAAAATCGCACGCGCGTTCTGAGAATCCAACTTGTCGAACAAATTCTTTTTCCCATTCAAGGAATCCACTACCAATTCCATGGTATAGTTCCTTGCCGTCGAAAGGTTGCAGTGCCAACTTTCTTTGGCTTCCGTCCGGCACGACTTGGGGCACTTGTTCATGTTGGTAAACCGTCGGACCCGGCGTTTGCACATTCGGGTATACTCCCGCGGGAACACCTTGAGCTTGATAAGCTGGCTCGTTGTTTTGAGCCATCCCATAGTTGACCCCAGCTCGTGCTGGCTAATCGACCATGTGATCCTCAGCAATTTCTGGTCGTCGGGTACCGAAGTACGGTGAGACATTCGTTCCACGTCTAGGTGGAGGGGCATGCTCCAGAGCTTGGAGATTCATGCCTCCTCCTGAACCGAGGACCGAACCAAAGACGCTTGACTCAACAGAGTCGATGTACCGGTGATCACCTTGAACGGGGTGGGAGGATTCCATCCTACGCATCCGATCCGTTAAGTCATCAAGCATCGCAAACATCTCGTCCAGTTCCGCCGCGGACACTGCCGATTTTTCCTTCAATTGGTTTTCTCCGGTCGTAAACTGACCGTCGACCACCACAGCGGGTTCGCCCTCTTGGGCTAAGCCGCCAACACGTTCCGTTGGGCTCATAGCCTGTTGAAAGTATGTGTTCGTAGTTGCACTCGTGCAAAGGTAGGTAGAAGTTAAAGTGAAATATATTAGCACTAATCCTTCTCTCTTGACAATGCTACAACATGTATTTCCAACGGCACTGCAACTTGACCTTGGTCAAGTTACAGATGGCGTGCGTCCAGCTCGCACATCTCGTTTGCTGGTCCTACATGTCAACTGTCTCTCTTGGTCTCAATTCCCAACATCTCGGTCGTCCTACGTGGTGTGCGTCTTTCTTCGTCTCATCTGTCGAGTCGTCACAATAACAACCAATCAGGTGAAGTTGTACTTTACCTGTAACAGGTCTTGGAGTAGACGTTTGAACACTTGATGACCTGTGAGAAGTGATACATTTTAACACGAGAAAGCTAGTGTAGGTCGCAACAATGACGTAGTCTTCCTCAACGTTTGGCCGATAAGAAGAACCTCACGACATTTGATACTTCTGGATGAATGACATGGTCGGATACAAAAATTTAGAATCTGCAATCGTCCCGGAAGTACCGCAACTACGCCCAAATTTGAGAACGTCACGTCTCTTTGCTTGCTAGTATATACATGAATTCTTATATCCGTCACAACTACATTGGACATTAGAGGCCGCACGTATCTGTGTTTGAGGTTCATATGGACCACGCTCGGAAATAGGCGTATGCGAGCAAAGTCACAACGATTTAGGTTGAAGGCGGAGAGGGCAAATTTAGTCCCATCTTTTTTGCATCCCTCGCAGTTGCCAATTTGGTTAGCAATGCTGTAAGCTGCTCATTTCTATATGCAGTACCATGATGATCAGGATGTCGCATCACAGGTTACGTAGTAGAAGTAGCACCGAATCAAACTCTATCCAAACTTGCAAACATAGATCAAACTAAATTCCATACCGACTGAGCTTTCCAATACAGGAAATGCTACATACGACCTCAACACCTACACCTATCCCGATATCACTCGCTCTCAGCCAGTAAAAAACTCGTTGAGCAAAGCAGCGTTTGCAAACGTGATGTCGCAGCTTCAAGCGCTTAAATCACTACATCTGTCCTCGTCTGTTCGTGTACACTGCGTCCCATGATGCAAATACCGAGAGATGCGGTGTGAAGCTAAGAGCGAAGCGACAGATAGGATGCTTGAAGTAGGAACCACTCACCAAACTTCAAGCCAAAATCAATGACGCAATTCGGTCTGACGCACTCTCAGCTTCTTGTTTGTTTGGCTATCCGCTGCACTTCATATGTTCATGTCACGGACGGGATACGGACAGGAACGGCACACGAATCTGCACTTCGAATCAAACGTTCATTTTGTCTTGACGCGAGTTAAATCAACATACTCAACGCAGGCTTAATTCTCGCTCCTGCAAAGACATTGTTGATACCAAACGGTGAAAAATGATACCGACCACTCCTCCTCACCACGACAACTTGCCCGGCAAGTACTTGTCAATAATGCTTTGGTAGTACGGCCACAGCTTTGCCACGTCTGGACGCACATCTGCCTTCGTGTACAGGTCAAACTTGTTGAACTCGAGCACCCAGTCGAGCAACTCCTCGTCTTCCTCGTTCATCAAGTGCCGATACTCCTTCTTCGTGTGCCACGGATAGCACGAGTGGTAGCGGATCATCGCAAGACCCTCTTCGGGGATCGACGTCTTGTTGAACTTGAGCATCTGGTACAAATACTCGTCGTGGCCCCAGGCAAACTTGAGGTTCCGGAAGCCACAGTGGGGCTCGTACATGCCGCACGCCGTGTTGTACCTCGGGTTGCTCATGTCCGGGTTCGTCGCGTTGTACGCTGGAAAGACGACCGAGTCGGGGATCTTGCAGCCCACGACCCACGTGTCGCCCCCGAGCGCCCACTGGTCGCCGTGGGCAGTGCCCTCCTGGCCGTCCGCGGCGTGGCCCCAGAGGTACTGGATCTTGCCCATGTCGTGCACGAGGCCGACGAGCTGGAACCACTCGGGGTGGCCGGCCGCGCGGATGCCTTCGGCCGTCTGCAGCATGTGCTCGAGGTTCGGCAGCGCCGAGTCGGGGTCCGACGAGTCCACGTACCCCTCGAGCGCTGCAAACGCCTCGCGCACAGTCATCTCGCCGTTCGAGAACGAGCCGTACTTGGTCTGCATCTTGGCTTGGAACGCCACGGTCTGGTGCTGGCGCATGAGCGCGTAGTGGCGCGCGACAATGGCGTGTCGGGCCGAGTCCTCGTAGTTGCGGAACTCCTCTGCTGCTTTGCCGCCGACGACAGCGCCCGTGGCCTCGAGCGTCAGCGGCTTCGTGTGCTCTGCCGGCACCGGAGCGACGTCGCAGTGGTCTCGAGACATTGCGGCAAAGCGGTCGGCAGAGAACGTCCGTCCGGCAGTCGGTCCGTCAGTCGGTCCGTCAGTCGGTCCGTCGGAGGAGGAGGAGGAGGAGGAGGAGAGTCCGATGGGCGTTCCCGCTGGAAGAAAACAAACTGATGGCGAGCGACGGACTGAGCTGTGGCAGACGGGCAGACGGGCGCCGCATGTGGGCGTCGACGGGGAGTCGCGAGACTTGTGGTCGAGGGCGGGCGGACGAAGGGACTGGTTGTTTACGTCGAGTGGGCTGTCCTGTAGTTATACTGCATTACTACATAGCGTCTTCATTTCGATTGCCATAAGTTCTATATTGTTTTTTGATGTCCAGGGGATTGGCCAAAGTTATGCACTGCATCTTTATGCACTGCATTTTGAGGTTGAAGAATCCCATCATTAGGCTCGGCAGCTCTTTGAGACAGTTTGTAGTGATCACCGGATTGTTGAGCTACGACCGTGTCTTACGTTGTATAAGTGCGGTGTCACGACGTCTTTGATCTCATGTGATACGTGCGACACGAGAAGACGCCTCCGAACAGTTCTACCGAACATCCACATTGACCTTGTGGCCCCGAAATTACATATGCGGCTAGACTTCGAGCGCACCAGTGTGATGGAGCGCACCACATCTTCTGATCGTGCGATGACGGGCCTACAAACTTCAACGACCGACCTCTTGGTTGCCAAGTGTTAATGAAACACACGGGATTTTTAAAAACCAATGAGCAAAGGCGTATCGGACGGAACAATCGACGGAAGCATATCATTCATCAAAGCGATGCGAAGAAGCTCCGGATTTACAAAGAAGTCGCAGATGATCCGGAACTGGTCAATTTAGGCCTCAAGTACGCCAGTGGTGTGGCCGGATAGTCACACATACGCTAGCACGTATCAGACTGTAGCTAACATATCAGCGTAAGATGTGTAGTTGGCCAACGTTGAAAAGGATAGTGGCGTGGCTAGAACTCACACGAAGATGAAATGGAGCTGTTCGTCCCAGCTTTTTGGCATTGAGACAGATCTGCGACATGAGCAAACATGCATCGTCTTTTGCACTTCCGGCGTGTCAACTTCAATCATACGGTATTTTATGGGGAATCGTAAAAAAACACCAGTGTTCGCCTAAAAAAACACCGTTACGATGAGACTATCCATTAACCTTATTTAATATATGCACAAAAGGGTAGAAAAAATACCTCTTTTGATTGAACCTCGTTAGAAACGTTTCTAAGATAAGTCGGACATTCCACTTTTTAAACGGACTGCAGTCTTCAATTTCGAGACGACGGCTCAGGGCTCGCCCTTGCACACGCTCAGCAATCGCTGCACGTGCATGCCGTCACGTCGACTGTGTCACGGCGCATTCCTCGATGTTGCTCCTGTACTTCTCTTTATCGGCCGTTTCTCCCGCCTTCTTTTAAGATCGCCACCAATCGTCTGAGTAGACAATAATAGGATACGAGGGACGGGCTGTTGCAGTTTGTGGACTCATAGCCAAAGCAATGCAAGAAAGAGAGAGAAATTGTGCTTTTTCGACGTGGCTGATGACTGAGTGACTAGCAAACTAAACCACATTTTGTTGTGTATATTGCTTTTGCTGGTATTTTCTTATGTCGTGTTGTTATCGATGTTGAGCAAACCCACGCTGGTGTCGCGTTCTGGGAGTTTAACAACTCTTTTGCTGGTGCAAAGTTTTTACTACTAGTAGATTCCAGGTACGTGGGTGTGCGTAAAGATAAAATGAGGTACGAGAATTGGCAGCTGGTTAATAATGTTGTGGCGATGGTTGCAGGGGGCCTGGAGCGATCGTGGTCACCATGATCGACTTAATGCTAAGGTTTCTAAACGTGTCGATGCGACTTACGGTGTCCGCGATCAACCCGACGTTGCTTGCTTCTTGTATTGGCACAATGCATTAGGTCCTTGCAATGCCGTGTGAAGTACATACCATCGATATTGGAGCTAAATGATATGTGTTGTTAAGGAGACTGCAGTATATGGCACCGGTCTACTTGAATTCACGCTGGCACAAGCCGTCCTATTTCCCATCGGCGTTTATTGCAGTATTATAACATGGTTATACTTGTTCTCCTCTTGAGGAAGTAATAGCAGGTTGGTAATGCTGCTGCTGACAGGTTTTGTGCAACACGGCTAACTAGCGTCGCGTGTGTATTTTAGATTTGATATGGCACGACCGATCACACCATATAATAAAATGGAGTGGGTTGGTCTACTTTCTGATTGCACGAGATATCTTTTGCGCAAAGCCATCGTTGGGTTACTTTTTGTTGACTCCCATAGATGATGCCGAGGAGACATGTCCTTGCCGACGTAATGCTAAGGAGAGCGTCAATAGTCCATATTAACAACTAATGGGTGTGTAAAAATGTAAATGCTGTTGGACATTCCGCCACCATCTTACCTTTCGCTCTCACAGCGACGACGCAGCCAATCCCGCCGCTGCAAAGACTGTCTCGTCCGAGGCCGCTTATGTTTCAAAAGCGGCAAGCTCCACCGGTTCAGAAACCGTCGCTACAGATGTCGCCTTCACGCCCTTGGCTTGTACCTGCGCCGTTGCAGGAGCCGTCGTCTCGCAAGTGAAGACTGCAGTCCGTAGAAAGAGAGAGGGGAACAGACTGTCTATTATACGAAATTATGGTGTACAAGACGTCTGGAAAGACCTAAGCCACGATAGCAACGCCAGTGTCGAATGATCCGGTGGTTGGACGAGTCTAACCGCTGTGTGCGGTGCTCTAGATGGGACCATGGTGAGCAGCCCGATGCATTGCATTAGACGAGTTCCGGCCACCTGGGTGTGTAGCTTCCTACACTCCCGCATCGCTAGTGCGTGTAATTGCCGAAAACTTTGAACTATGTATTCGTACATACATCCCGCCAAAGTGACGGAAAGACCTTCGTGAGCGACCCGATCGCGCTGAACCCATATAATCGTGATACATATTAAACATAATACCCACCACATGCGCTTCCATTGACACACATAAGCCTCCATTGCATGTCCAAACGCGCTCAGCAGCCGCCGTGAAATGATCGGATTCAACGGCGGGGACGTCCGTGACATGCAAAAAGTCGCATGAAGCTGCATACTGGTCGGAGTTTCCGTGCATCCGGTCCAGTAGGTTATGAGTGTAAGCCAGCAACCCTGGGCGGTTGGACAACCCCCAAAAATGTGATCCAAAGTCTCTCTTTTGCCCGCGATAGACCGAAGGTGTTCGATCGCATTCCGGTCAAAAAGCGGAGGGTCCGACTTATCTTAGAAACGTTTCTAGTGAAGCTCAATCGAAAGTGGTATTTTCTTTACCCTTTTGTGTATTTATTAAACAAGGTTAATGGATAGCCTCATCGTAACGGTGTTTTTTCAGGCGAACACTGGTGTTTTTTTACGATTCCCCGTATTTTATCGAAAAACCGAGAACTGCAGAGAATCTTTACAGGATAATACAGAAATCACGGCAATCGAAATGAAGACGCTATGTAGTAATGCAGTATAACTACAGGACAGCCCACTCGACGTAAACAACCAGTCCCTTCGTCCGCCCGCCCTCGACCACAAGTCTCGCGACTCCCCGTCGACGCCCACATGCGGCGCCCGTCTGCCCGTCTGCCACAGCTCAGTCCGTCGCTCGCCATCAGTTTGTTTTCTTCCAGCGGGAACGCCCATCGGACTCTCCTCCTCCTCCTCCTCCTCCTCCGACGGACCGACTGACGGACCGACTGACCCGGACGGACGTTCTCTGCCGACCGCTTTGCCGCAATGTCTCGAGACCACTGCGACGTCGCTCCGGTGCCGGCAGAGCACACGAAGCCGCTGACGCTCGAGGCCACGGGCGCTGTCGTCGGCGGCAAAGCAGCAGAGGAGTTCCGCAACTACGAGGACTCGGCCCGACACGCCATTGTCGCGCGCCACTACGCGCTCATGCGCCAGCACCAGACCGTGGCGTTCCAAGCCAAGATGCAGACCAAGTACGGCTCGTTCTCGAACGGCGAGATGACTGTGCGCGAGGCGTTTGCAGCGCTCGAGGGGTACGTGGACTCGTCGGACCCCGACTCGGCGCTGCCGAACCTCGAGCACATGCTGCAGACGGCCGAAGGCATCCGCGCGGCCGGCCACCCCGAGTGGTTCCAGCTCGTCGGCCTCGTGCACGACATGGGCAAGATCCAGTACCTCTGGGGCCACGCCGCGGACGGCCAGGAGGGCACTGCCCACGGCGACCAGTGGGCGCTCGGGGGCGACACGTGGGTCGTGGGCTGCAAGATCCCCGACTCGGTCGTCTTTCCAGCGTACAACGCGACGAACCCGGACATGAGCAACCCGAGGTACAACACGGCGTGCGGCATGTACGAGCCCCACTGTGGCTTCCGGAACCTCAAGTTTGCCTGGGGCCACGACGAGTATTTGTACCAGATGCTCAAGTTCAACAAGACGTCGATCCCCGAAGAGGGTCTTGCGATGATCCGCTACCACTCGTGCTATCCGTGGCACACGAAGAAGGAGTATCGGCACTTGATGAACGAGGAAGACGAGGAGTTGCTCGACTGGGTGCTCGAGTTCAACAAGTTTGACCTGTACACGAAGGCAGATGTGCGTCCAGACGTGGCAAAGCTGTGGCCGTACTACCAAAGCATTATTGACAAGTACTTGCCGGGCAAGTTGTCGTGGTGAGGAGGAGTGGTCGGTATCATTTATCATGAACGATTGGGTATCGAACTCAGAACAGAACGACGCATTAACGCTCGGCAAGTCGAAGCTTAGGTTTTTGCAGTCGATGATCTACGACGTCTGACACCTCAGTAGGCGAAGACATAACTTCGTTGTTTGCTCGTGTGTTTGGTAGTAAGACTGACTCAATCATACAGCCGTCTCACTCGAACGAATTGAATCGATCGTCTGACACAGTGTTTTCGGTTCGAACTCGATCGTAGATGGAAAGTGGTCGTAACAGCCCAATCGGCACGACTCACTGCAGCCTCTTTGCGCCAAACAGTGCATTCGTGCCTCGTTGTAACCGATCGTGTGTCTGATGCAACAATTTTTGTTGCAACACGATGCTTTGTATCGACAGTACTCCCCCCGCTTGATCTGAGTTCGACTTCATAATCATACATTCGTGCACGTCGATCCCAACACACTTTCTTCCCACCACCGACACGTGTGTCATTACTCCCTCCTGCTACGGAACTCGATACAAACACTTTGGTAGCCAAGTAACTGCACCATTTGTGTTGAAAAGAACCGACACTAAGCACCAGAATCAGCTACGGTGGAGATACCGTGAACGCTGTGGACCTCGTGATTCGCTCTTGGTGCAATGTCGAAACCTTACACACAATCTCGTCGTTCTTTTCCTCCTAGTTCTGCTTATTGGCAGTGGCCTCGCGACGTGCTGCATCCTGCAGCAATTCCGTGTCCACTTCTGCCGCTGGGATCTGGACGTAGCGGATCGAACTTCCGCGAATAAAGCAGTTTTTCATATTCATCTACACGCAACATCACGAGTCAACCTTCACAAACCAATTTGCATGGAATCGCAGTACGCACGCCGTTCGATAACTTACCAATTGCGGGAACTTGTCACTTTCCACGACGGACACGTTAAGTAGCTTAATGTTCAGGTACTGGTCCACTGAGTCAAGGACGCCCATGAGCGCTACGTCGTTCTTGAGCTCGACAGCCACCTCTTTGCCCACCAGCGTCTTGAAGAACGAGTAGAAGATCTAGACAGCATACGCATAGCAAGTGTAGCGTGTACGTGAGGTGCAGGATATTGTACTCATGGGGACGGACGACTAGGTACCATTTGTCTTCTGGTTGTGCGCGTGCTGTTTTGCTTCGATTTCGCTGGATTTGCACCAATCAGCAACCGATTGGGGGCAGCTTATACTATTGAATCCTACGTTTTGTCATACACGCATCCTGTTTTTTACATACATATTCGATCGACTTTGTGTCAGCGTGCACTGTTTTGCGAGCAACATTACCGCACGATGCTTGTGAGACTGTAAAAGCATTCCATCCATTAGGTCAGCTCGTCCGTGCAATAGGACAGCGTTCTTGACACCCGTACCAGTCGTACGTTCCTCGTTTCGATTACTCGGAACGCAAGTTTGTCTTCCGACTATCGACATGCAGCGGTATCTGCACAAAGGACAAATACGGTCTGGTCCGCATCCGGTCTTTATGCCGGAAAACAGTCGACCTGTCCCGTGACTGAGCTTTCTGTCGTTGAGCGACAATGAATGCAGCAGCCGATGGCGACGTGTGAGCTACTGAGTCCATCGTTGGAAGCTCTGTTCGAATCGACATCTGGCTGTACATGGTGTCCAAGCTGCAAACGGAGTTCACATCCGCTTCCAGCCCGGTGCACTTCGTTGACCTGATGCATCAGCATACTTTTTTTGCCGATCGATCGGCAGAAGTGACTTTTGTGCATGCGCCTGTGAAGGACGGAGGGATCACGGCCGAGCACTTGTAGTGCAGAACACGCACATATGATGTTCTCTCCTTCTCCCAAGTGCTCGACATTTCGTCCGTGCTGCAAGTCTTGTGTACACAGAAGCAAAGGTATCTGGAGCCATGCCCTGCAGCAGCAGCAGCAGCAGTAGATGGCGAAGCAAGTATGAACCCTCCAGTCTCGCTAGCTTTTCGTATGGCGTAGAGGCGAATCAGCTCTGGTCGCCGTTGGCGTCAAGATTCTCTTGTTGACAAGCTACAGACAGCTTTGGTCGACGCGCGCAGAACGCCACGCGTCATATTCGAAGCAAGATAGTTCACAACTGTCAAGACCACACAGTGACGCGTCAATTTGCTTGCTATCGACAGCACTTGATCCGACTTTGGCCGGAATATCATCAGTATGGATGGCACATTCGTCTCTTTGCCTGTAGTGTCAGCCGTAGGAGTGGGCCGAGCTTTGGCTCTTCACGACGTTGTACGGCCACATAGCAGCGACTTCGTGCGCCCAAGTGACTACTACGGTATACAGCACTACCGGCCCATGTCAGCGTCAAGACGAATCTCAGCCAAACAGCGGCAAGGGCGTCACCACCATCTGAATCACCAACAGGCCGCGAAGTATGCGGCAGTTCACAACTATGCATCTGTCCAGTATCGAAGGATGTTTCAAGCACTATGAAGCTGGCAGAGACTGCAGCGTACGTTCTATCGTGACTTTCGTGGAGTGTAGCAAGAAGCTTTCTCTCTCGACCCACGAGCTATGGAGACACAGTTTCACTCGCCGCAGTAGATGGCGCACACCATACCGATAGCTTTGCAAGTCGGCATGCCAGCACGATCACAAGTCTGACGCAGTAGCTGTTCCACGCACGAGAAGTATACTCAAATGCGGCTGTAAAAAGGTTCGCAAGCGCAGGGGTCGCGGCATTACCGGTAATCAAAAGTTAGTGTTCTTTCGCGTGGTGCGTTTTTTTTCACGCGGTGATGTCAATTTGCTTTTTTGTACGCGGTGCTCTCGAGTATTGCGTGAGATCGACAGCACTAATGCAACTGGAGCCTGACGGTGCAAAAGACGAGACACGCCGTCCGTTACAAGAGAAAACAAACAACCACTTTGGTATACATATGCCCGCGCTTGCTCGTGTATAGTTAGTTGTACGGACCAAAAGTGTCCCGTTCGTGGTCAGGGGACGCGCGAGTACTTGATCAAGTCCGACAGCCGGTCAGTATACTTCTCCTTTCGACGGTTTTTGTGGCCGTTTGGGTTTCGGTACGTTTTCTGTAAATAGCCCCACCATCAAACCTTCGTTAAGTTGCAATTCGATGTACGCCACACCAGCACCGACCACTGCCACACTCCACGCCTCAAGAATAGCTCCTCACGCCGACTTCGCGGCTTAGCTCAGCTCATGGCAGGCGACAAGAGCTGCCGCCACGTCCGCCAGGCCGTCCGTCTATCGGACTTCCGTCGTGAGCTGAAGAAGCGCACTCATTTGCTCTGTGAAGTGCGCACGAGTGCCCGCGAATCGCTCTTTGCCCACGATCGACGTGAGCGTTCTAACGCTTTTGCCCCTCTCTGTATCGCTTTTATCTGTCTCTGTTTCACTATAGATGTGCCCGATAAGCGCCGCACTGTCTCCAGCCGAGAGCTGGGAAACGAGCCACTACGAGGCTGCAACGGACGTGCTCGTGTGTGTGAGCTGCGCCTTTGTGGGCTGCGTGCTGGACGGCCACTTTCGCGCACACGTGGAAACGCACGCCAAGCACTTTGTCGGACTGCAGTTGTGCGCCAAGACGTTTTGGTGCGAGCCCTGTCGCATGGACATTCCTATCGACATTCGACCGAAAGTAGAGACGGCACGTCAGGAGTTTTGGGACGCTCTAGAGGAAATTGCGGGCAAGAAGCGACGACAGTTGCGTCATTTGAAACGCGGGGTGCAGACCAGTATGTCGCCGATCACGACGCCGGTTGGATCGACCACGAACGTGCTATTGCCACAAGCACTAGTGGACGGGAATAGCGACGATTTGCCGCGGGAGGCGATGGGACAGGAGCTACAAATGGACGGCGAAACTCGAGGACGTAGTGACGACCAGAAAGAAGCCGCTGGCGTGGCGCTGCTGAGCATGCCACTGCAGACAAAAGCCAGGGAAGACAAAATACAACGACAGATGCTCAAGACGGCGGTGCGGACGAGGGAATCTGGCCAAGGCGTAGCGATATCGACGAGTAGTTCGGATTTCGCGGACGGCAGTGAATTGCCTATCACGGTACAGGGGTTTACGAACCTCGGCAACACGTGTTACTTCAACGCATCGGTACAGGCACTGCTGACCGTGGCGCATTACTTCCCCGAGCACATGCACATTGACGAAGTGTTTGAGAAAACGGACACGCCAATTATTACTACCTTCACGTACGTTTGAGCTGGCGCACTTGAGTAATGAAGAGCTCTAACGTGTTGCGGTGTTGCTTTGACGTAGGATGCTGCACGAGACTGTGAAAAAGCGTGCGCGAAAGGCTCTTACAGGCGAGTTGGCTTTGGATCGACCTGTGAAGGTCAAGGGTAGTCGATCACGCTCTGGGTCGTCTTCAGTACTGACTTTGGCACCGTTGCTCAAGGAAATGCGCAAAAAGTTCGCTCAGTTTCGCGGACATTATCAGCAAGACGCGCACGAGCTATTTGCGAGTTTCCTTTGGGCAATCGATGAGGAGGTAGATCCTCCGTTGTCGTGTACGAATGAGGGGCCCACCATGTCTGCTCCGTTCGACAGCGTTACGAGCAGTAGTTGCTGCACAACGAGCTCATCAGAATGTCCGAGTGATGACGGAGATGACTCTTCTCGTCAGTATGGAACGTGGTCGATTGACAACACGACAGACACTGAGCCGATAGGGGAGAACATACAAGAAGCGCTGGAGGGAGATAGTGAAAGCGACGCAGATCCCTCGGAGCAAGACACAAAGCAAATTTTTGTAAAGACAGAGACTGGCGAGACGATCTCGATGCAAGTGCCGAAAAGCGCGACGGTGAAAGAAGTTCAGCATTTGTTAGCCAAAAGGCTAAATCTCAATGAAGACGACATGATGCTGAATACCTCTCAGTCTGACACCCGAGCTACTCTCTCTTCGCGACCGGGTGCTGCCCCTCACGCTAGAGTTGAAAAGAGGAAGACGTGCTCAAGGCTGAACTTCACGCGCAACTTGTTTGGTGGCGCGCTTACGACTGCTGTAACCTGCAAGGCGTGCAGCAAGCGAACGGAGATTCTGGAAGACGCATTTCATCTGAGCGTGTCCGTTCCAGATGGACGTTCCGAGTTGACGACTGCGGATTGTCTGAATAACTTTGTAGCCGAGACTCAACTGCTAGTGGAGTCTAACAACGGCTACGATTGCGAAGCTTGCTCACGACAGCCGATGGTGCGCAGCGTGGCGGGTCGATTTATGCGCAAGAAGCGTCTCGGACCAAACGCTGAACCTGAGATGGAAGTGGTTTTGCGCGACGCATCGATGCAGCTGTTTGTATCGGCGTTGCCCCGTGTTCTCGTGGTGCATATCAAGCGTCTGGCACGCTCCCGAAAGATTACACAGCACATCGCTTTCGACGGCAAGTTGGACATGACTCCGTACGTGAGCGATACACTCCGCCAAGGCGGCGGAGACGCAAAGACGCATTCGCTTTGTTACTACCTCATTGCAGTTGTGGTGCATATGGGCAACAAGCGCTCGGGCCACTACGTTGCATACGTTAGCCGGTCGCGCCGGCGTGAGGCTACCGTGGCAGCTCGTGGACGCCGCCTCGCTTCAGAAGGAGGTGGAGCTGCAGTGGCCGAGGTGACAACCCCGAGGAACAAGGACGGGTCATCGCGGACGTGGTACTATGTCTCGGACACAGTCGTCAAACGTGTGTCCTTTGAACAAGTATTGCAGTGTGAAGCGTACATGCTATTCTATCAGCGTCGACCGAAAGCGTCTGCTAGTAGAGTGACCTCAGCAACTTCTCCAACAACAGAGACGGACCGGCTGCCAGTCCAATCGCGTGCTGAACCTGGTGGGTGATCAGGGCCAGACTTTGCTAGCCCAAGTATGAGAACATTGTTATAAGGTAAAGGCTATTCAATAGATACACTGAGAATGGAGACGGTTGACGGTTGTATACTGCAGGAAGTGATGGAGACCGGATAGATTGACGACGCTGAAGGTGAGGCCCATGCAGATGTGATTGACTTGTTCCAGGGGCGTCGAATCGAAGGTACTATCAGCTTTAGCAATTGTCTCTTGATAGCGCGTGATACCGTCAGATTGGTGCCGCAAGCTTCAAATTCGGGATCCTGAAGCATCGAAGTTCGGTTGCGGGCTGCAGAGCAGCTATAATATGGATTCTGGACGCGCTTACCCCGGGACAACGTGTCATCGGTATACAGCCTCTGCTATTACTGTTGTTCCCCGACTGTCTGTTACAAGTCCAGCTTTGTCGGGATCAACCGATATGGACGTAGCTTTGCCGAGTCAAAGGCAGGCGTATTCAGCATCGAATGCAGCGAAGATAGGTGAGTTGACTGGTCAGTTGGTGTAACCGACTGCAGATACGTATTCCTGAAAGGTCTCGAAGAAAGTCGGGAGTGAGCAGCCATGGGCGCAGATGACTTGTGATAGCTGCAAACCCGCGACAAACGGGACAAGTTGCTGCACGAATGCGACTTCGGATCCCGTTGATCTATCTCTGTAGAAAGCTTCAGCAGAGGCAATCGCGTGAGTCCAAGATGGTTAACGCTGGCTCAGCAAGGCCTGATGTTTCAGTCAAGAAGACGTCTGCGCCCCGGACTGCCTTCGGTCTTCGGACTCCAAGCGTTGTACAACGAGATACAAGTAGAACCGATAACCTCAGTGCCCGGATCTCCAAGTCACTTGATACGATCGTCCTCTTCTTTGGAGCTGGTCGATTCAAAAGCCGCTTGTACGCGCTAAGACACGTGTACTTGTTGATATGCGCAGTTGGAACGTGGAGCACGCAGCTGTTGTTGTGCGCACGACGAGTGCATGCAATCGCCACATCCTCGACGAGTACGAGTCGAGTTGACTCGATGGGTTACTCCAAGCTCACATCACTCCTAACCGTGATAAGGTACTACGACGCACTCGTGTCTGCATGAGCAAGAAGAACCTTCTGGTCGACAAGTGCTTGCCTCGTATGCAGACAAAAGCGCTTTTCCAGCCACGTCTTCTCCTCCCCAGAAACCTATTTTTCAGGACTTTCCAGCAATCGTCGAGCATCAATGTTGGCGCACTTGCCTCGACGAGATGCAGCTGGCGAGGCAAGTGCGAGGCGTCAAAAGGCCGAAAGGTGGGGCTCGCGAGGTGCAAAGTTCGGTGGCTACTGCATAGCTCCAGTTTGCACGATCTCACTGCCTCCGTTCATTGAGGTCGATGTGCAGCTACGGGAGGTGCGAGACAGAGGAGCAGGTGTGCTGTATTGCTCTGCCTGATGAATGCTGTGGCTCGATGCTGTATACGACACGTAGACAACGCGTCCCGTGTTTTGTCGAGTTGAGTGCAAACAAAGTGTGGCGTTCTGCGCTCGTAACGACGTTGCGACGTTTCACCTGTCGCGGGTCGTCGTGAAACTGTTGCGGCGGACGATAAATCAGCGGAAGCATTAGGAGCAAAAGACACGACGGCCAGAGCGGCGAAGGCCAAGAGCGTGGGCAATGGTCAACGCAGCAGTCGTTATGGTTTCAATGTCACTTGGACGCGCCTATCACTTCCACGTCGAACTTTCAACGCGGCCAAGAAAGACGAAGTCTGTGTGTTCGATCCCCAAGCGGCACGTCCGTTCATTGTTTGCTTCATTCTTCATCTCGTTTTGCGGTCGACAAGCACTTGGCGGTCGTAGCACTCTCCAACAATGGTAGCGCACGGGTTCCTCGTAGCAGCAGCAGCAGCAGTATTTACTCTTGTGGTCAAGTCAGTCCCTGCGGAACGAGCAGATCCTGCAACTTGGTCCCGATCCGGATTGAGGCCATGGGTGGATGTCGATACGCCCGAGTCGGTCTACAACATCACGTCGTCGCGTGGCGATACGTGGACGCTGGTCATGAGTGACGAGTTTAACGTCGCTGGACGCAACTTTGCACCCGGTATGGATCACATGTGGACGGCCCTCGAAATGCCTGACGGGGTCAACGCCGCCTTGGAATACTACAGCATTAACATGACAAGCACCGTGACTGAGCCAGACGGCCGAGGCGTTTTTCAGATCAAAACCATGGAAGACGAGAACATCACGTACACAGTGTGGAACAACTACGCCGAGCCAGCAGGTTTCGAGACGCACCACATGTACTACCGAGCTGGGATGATGCAATCGTGGAACAAGTTTTGCTTCCAAGGCGGGCGGATGGAGGTCGTTGCACAATTGCCAGCAGCCATGAGCTCGAGTAACCCAGATCTGAAAAATACCAATGGCCGCGTAAAGACAACAGAGTTCTACCCGACGTGGCCTGGCATTTGGTTGTTAGGGAACTTGGGCAGAGCACTCTTTTCGCAATCCACCAGTCGCATGTGGCCCTGGAGCTACAACGAATGTGACAAGACGTTGAGAACGAGCCAGAGAATCAGTGCGTGTGACGGCCATCCAGGCCACGGTCTCAATCCGTACCAAGGAAGAGGAGCGCCGGAAATCGACTTGCTCGAAGGTGCTGGCAACATAATATCCACGAGTATGCAATTGGCCCCTGGCATGCCGGATGACTTCCGACTCATACCGTCAGCGAACGACACCGATCAGTCCTGCGTTTACTCTTCCACTTGCAAAACCATGGGCGCGAACTTTCCTGGCATTCCAACCACGATATATGCAGCCAGAAAGCACAAGACGTGGTACCAGGGCCTTCGCTATGCTCCAAACACGCTCTGCACACCGATGGACAGCCTGAAGCAAGATGCTGATACGGTGATCAAGACCATGAAGAAAGGCTACACGAGCAACACATGTGCAGGAGTGAACACGTGCCCAGCTTCCGGTGATGGTTATGCCAGTCTAGAATCCATGGACGGTAACGAAACAAGGCATTGGGGGATCAATGACGTCGGAGGATGCATGCCACTCATCAATGGATACACAGGAGCCTTCCTATGTGATCCAGATAGCTCAAACCCCAAATGCGTTGCACCGTTAGCAGCTGGAAAACCGGGCAGCAACATCATGGAGCCATTCGAGTACCAAATGGACGCCATATCGGCCAACTGGCCCGTTCAAGCTGCTGCGTACACGAGTTACTTGAAGTATCAAGTTGAGTGGGTAATGGGCTCGGACGGATATGTGCGCTGGATGCTCGAAGACATTGCAATGTTTGAGATCCCGGCCGATGCTATCGAAACAGTGCCGCAAGATGCAGCACGGTCCAACCCGAAGAAGATCATGCTGGAAGAACCCATGTACGTGATTTTCAACGTCGCTCTTTCGACAAGCTGGGGCACGACACCACCAAACCCGGGAGCACCGTGCCGTGGTGATGACTCGACTGCGCAGAACGATGCCATTTGCGACGGTTTTCCCATGTACATGAAGATTGACTACATTCGCGTTTACCAAGATTTGTCACCGAGCTCAATCATGGCCATCGGCTGTGATCCGTCAACGCATCCGACGAAACAGTGGATTGAAGACCACATCGACGAATACGAGACGGAAGACAACAAAGTTATCGAAGTCCACGGTGGAGCCAATTGCAAACATGAACGCGACTGCACCGTGAGCACCTCCCACATCGTGACTGGCACATGTAACGGCAACGGCCGATGCAGTTGTGCGTCAAATGCCTGGGGCGGCCCTCGTTGCACAGCCGCACTCACTACGACATCGAACGGTGCTAGCTTCGGACCACCTGTGATGCTTGCAACTCCAGTAAGTATCTTCCTCATCGTGCTGTTTGGCTGTGTCGCGTACAAGATCGCATGCCAACAAAGCAGGAAGGCCAAAGTGGGTGCCGGCGTTACCCGATTCAGAGGCTTTATCAAGGTCGAGATGGACGATACTCCGATTTCAATGAGCGCGTCAGACGACGGAGCAGCGTAACCTTTCGGAAAGAATATAAGCTTCACAATAGATCTGCATCGTGCTTCTCGAGTGCGTTGCGCACTTACGTGGACGCCTGCAGGGTCACATGCCCGAGGCAAGATAGACGCGAGCTGACTGACGCTTGAGAGAGTTGGGGACAACGCTGTATTAATCCTCGTTTGTGCTACTCGGAGTCGCCGTCGTGGAAGGTGCCGGACAAGATCTTTTCTTCTTTGCCCAACTCTTGGCTAGCGCGAGTAGAAAACGATCGACAGTAGCGGAACGTGAGACACCGACAGCAATTGCTTCGCCACATAGACGACGCGTGCATAACGAAGCATAGCGTACCTGGACAGCTTCGGGATAGTCACGTTACTGCTTAGCTGATTCTTGGACTGTGCTGCGTTTCTATCGACCTTTGGCACAAAGTCACGCCCTTCACAGGCAAAAATGGACTACAGCCAGTACACACCCTCGTCATTAGACCCCTCACGACACTAATAGGAGACGTACGAACTATACCTTGGCATTGGGACTGACAATCGGTGCCTGAACGAATGGATTTCTCGTGGCAGTATCACCTGTTGACCCTTGAAACGCGTTCCACGTTGGCTGGTGTACACTAACGGCTGATCGCTCTGCCACGACATCAAACACACATACACACACACAGCGGTCCCAATCATGACCCGACTGCACATTTACACCAGTAGAAGCAAGGCATGACGTACTCGCAGCTACAGTTTGAAGGCCATGCAGCGACTGCCGCACTTGCGCTTTTTCACCGATAAGCTCGAGACGCTGACGTTTTGTGTCCTGCTCTCTCTCTACCACCAGTCGACTGTCTGAGCTGTACGTATGACGATTTGGCAACGGCGGCACAAAGCTCGGCACGTGAAGTGGCAACTGCTCTCGTCGTCCAATCTTCGTCTGCTCCATTGCAGAGCTCGAGATGTCTCGTTTCCGAGCTGGAAACGCCGCCACGTCCCTCGGAAACGGTCGTTTGGCCGTCCCCAGCGTTTTCACGAGGTCTGTCAAGTCCACTGCACTTGGCTCGAGGTCCTGAAGCGCGTGAAGCACGTCCGTCGCCTTCACTTGTGTCCGTCCAGCGAGCTCGGCAATGCCCTTTGCCGCTCCTCCAAGTCGTTGAATGTCTGCCCAACAACAACAACAGCCATAACAATACAACATAACAACAATATACCATCAACAACAACAGCCATAACAATTGAGTATTGCAATACGTTTGGGTAGGACCCTCCACGCAATAATTGCTGCTGCCGCTATATTGCAATAATTGCGCACACTTGGCGAGAATCTCGGCGAGCGCGTCGGCGGCCGACTTCTGCACGGCGTCAAAGCCCACGCCGTTGGCCACGTGCGCCACACTCATCACCGACAAGTTGCGCGCGAACAGGTCGCCGCTCGAGAGGCCCGCAGCGCCGCCCACCAGCGCGTCCAGACTGCCGTCCGCCGCCGCTTTCTTGCTCATGCTCACGCTCGTGCCGCCGGAAGCCGCGTGCGACGGCTTGCGGACCTCTTTCTTGCGGGGAAGCGCTGGAGGAGACGCATTCGTGCGGTGCAGAGAAGGCGCAGGCGGCGGCGCTGCGGCCATTGAGGCCGCGGGGGCAGCGCTTGACGTCTCGGGCGCCGCAATGCTCTTCGAGCCCGTGACCATTATTGTGCTATGGCGAAACGGCAGTTCGAATTAGTGGGATAATACATTATTGAATTGAATTGATTGCGCGCGGAGAAAAGCACTTTGTGTAGGACGGACGCGTCCGTGCCCGAGGCAAAAGCACATTCTAAACAACGCAGTGTGGTCCACGGTTGCTTCGGCACGAGTGGCAAATTCGAGCAGTCTCTGTAGAGTGTACCGAACCGCGAATGTCGATCCGGACGGTTAATCTTGCGAGACCGGCCGCAATGGAAAGATGGGGTTTGTTGCAGCTCGCAAGACGCAGATATGCAGCAAGCAGAGCCCCGTTGTTTCGCCGCGCTCGATGCTTTGCGCTCGTGTCGTTGTATGTCCATTAAGATGAAGCTGCGACTCCTTGCTTTAGGCCGAAGACACTATACTAGCATGCAACTGAGCACCAATTTTGCAACATGAAGACCTTCGCACGGCGTCTGTATCGATTGTGCGTACCAATAGGCCAAGTGTGCATATTGACATGTAAGTCAAGACGCTGATGTGCTGTGCGTTTCGATTGAGTTACGTTGTGGCCTGCAACATTCGGCCCTTGGGTCCTGCTCAATGACGTGCGCTCTTGTGAAGTAATGTGTTGCAGCAGCACAGCTCAATATCTGTCACCCGTTTCGTTGTACCGGTCAATAGGCTAAGCCAAGAAACGATCCACTGCTTCCCAAACGCGACACTATGTTTGGCCTTTCCATATTGTAAGCCGAAGCGCAGCAAACCTTTTATCCTTTGCACGATTTGTCGCTGTACCGCATGGAGTCGTGATGACACTTCGCCAACCATACAAGTACACGCACAACGTCACGATCGCGCAACGAGGCCAGAGCAGTCATCGACTGCTATGTGCGTGCTCAGAACTGGTAAAAATTGAACATGTAGTACGTAAGGAAGTGGACGGCCATGTGCGCAGCCACATGAGCATTTTGCTTCGAGCGAGGCTCTGTAATTTCTTTTAGCGACTGTAGTCAAACGCACGCCTGCATTCCAGGTTGCAAGTGCGCAGCTTGTACGAAGAGAGTACTAGTCTTCTATCGATAAGCAATGTCACGTCTGTTGCAAAATGGCTGTGCCTCTGTCGCAACGGAGACTGCAGTAGTAGAAAAAATCCCTGTTTGATATCTTTCCTTTCTTTGCTTGTCGCATCGTTCACCACTCAATGCCATTGCAAGTTTAGGAATTGCTAAACTTGCAATCGATGCGCGAATGCATACAAATGTGCATGTACATATCCGGGATCCACTAGAGATGCGAATGGCTACGAGCAGACTGTGTAATGTGCACATGGACATACACAACGCGATCGGGGCGTTGGTTGACACCAATCGATTGATAATCGAAAAGCGGTACGACGACCCGATAGCGGAGCAGGCAGCCGCATCGTTTCTTTTCGTGTCTCGTCCTGATTACAGTGCAAATGATGACCGTTGACCCGCATCCAACCAACACTTTCTTTCTTTTTGTATCGGCACTCACGATGCTGCGCCGACTTTGCCGCCCCTGTAAATGCCCTGTGCACTTACTTTGCATGATTTTTGGATCGGTCCGCCTTCACGAGAAGCCGATCACTGCGCCCGCTCACATCCACGTGAGTCCACATCAACACCGAGGCGTTTCGAACGGAGTCTGAACCGCTCGTCGTTGTATATCGGTCACCCATGCCTTTAACACTACACATCGGACGACACGATCCGCAAGTTGTGTACCGTCTCAGCCACGACGCGTCGTTTGGTCCTACTGCCTCACTTCCACTTCCCACCTAAAGAGTGGCCAGCCTTGAGACGAACAAGTCTACTGTGCGTTGTAGTGACGGCTGAGCAAGTGACTCTGGGACCTATCGATAAGCGACTGCCTCGATCGATATGGACTAGTAAAGGAAAGCAGTTGGTAAATCTGGATTGACGAGCAGTTGGTAAATCTGGATGGACGAGCAGTTTGGATCCGTGGTCAGGTCATTTCGTACCGCGAAAGCGGCGACCTATATCGTGGCCGAACCCTCATGCTTGTTTGCTGTTTAGTGATCGACGGACATTGTCACAGTAAACTCAAGGCCGCCATCGGCAAGCTCATGGTTCTGATGTCTACCTGACTCGGCTTCGGACCGACCTCCAGGCCAACACTGATCCAACGTGTCGTGTCTGGGCATCATGTGATACTAGAATCACCCAGGCGGGTACATGTCTAGACGAGTACGTTGTGCCGACTGACTTGCTTCAAGTGCAGCTTGTCAGAAATAACATGGGTTGAAAACCCGTCAGGAAGTCACTCGTGTGAACACAACTATCGATTGTTGCAGAACGAGAGGCCATTGTACTTCTGACGGGTGTTGTGCTCGGTTGGCTTTTTCCGATAGTCACGCTTTCATCCAGTAAAACTAGTGCTACGCTGTCGGCACTTTGCTAATCGATGTCTACAGACATCTCCTACGGAACGTCGGCATGAATGCAAGTCTTTCGATCATTTGCTCGGTAGCCTACACGATCGAATCGACATGAGAACGTATGAGAAATCTCTACGATGGAAGTTTGCTCAGCAGTGCAGTACCAAGCTTGAGCTCGTAGACGTAGTCAGAAAGATTCGCAGAGCTGCTTCCCGCTCGAGACCGACGCACGGCTCAACCCGTCCACAGTACTATCGTAGTTGCTAGTGCCTCAACGGCTTACAAGACTAGTCATAAACATTCCACAGCTTTGTGGTGCGTCACCTTGAGCCGTTGATACAATCGATAGATACTCGACAGAGACTTTGCAGCACCGCAGCGGCCTCGTTGTACATCAGGGTGTACCGTAACGGCCTTACTGCACATCAGGGTGTATTGTGGTCTCGTTCCAGTCGTTCTGAGCTCAAAAAATCGTACCTGACATGTCGAACTCGAACATGCAGGTTGCTTGGAGTCGATCGCAAAGTGTTTTTTTGTCCGATCAGCTCGCGTAATCGGGTACAATGCGGCGCTGAAGACCTCTGCATGCGCTTCGGCGGCATTTCGAGATTGTGCGTGTTCGTCAAGTAGGTTGAATCTGCTGTTGTAGATCGTGGCACGTGGTAGACCTCGCAGGACGTTTCTGCCACTATTATCAAGCTCAGCGTCCGCGCTTGCACGTCATCATACTCCTCAATGCAGAAGCTGCGCACCTTAGTCGCGTCTTCTGCGTGCAGTTCAGCCGAAGACGCGATCGAGATGCGCATTCTCCAGCCGGAACTTATGGATGCACGTGACGCTCGCAACGTGACTAGCTGAAAAGTTCAATACGAGCTGTGGGGTGGCAAGCCGCGACTTGCATGTACTCGTGAGTCATATTGAGTGCAAACTTGACGCAGATATGCCAAGCTGTGAACTACGTACGTGATGCGCTACGCGTTTGTACCTGTTGTGAAGGCAGCGGACTCACAGCACTAGAGCATTATCCACACAACATTCGACGACGCTGGTCGCACTTCATAGAGCGTTCGTTGTTCTTCGTGCTCACTACTTGGCTACCCTACGCATGACTGCCGGGTGGCATGCCCTCTACACCAAATTCGATGCCCTTTGCACTGCGTTCAACAACGGAGATACGAAGGCTCACGAATTCGACTGAATTCTTAGCTGTTCTACCGTCAGCCAGGAGCTTCTCAGAAAAACCCAATCTCGAACGCGTGACCAGCTCTTCAAGTTGGGCGAGTACATGCGACCTCTTTTGTGCTAGTGGTCGCGAGACTGTTCGACTCCCTTCGATGCCGTCAACTCGAACGACAGCATTGCTTCGCGAGAGTGCCGTAGAAAGGAAGGAACAACGACGCCAAAGCTAAAGCCAATGCTTCGCTGCATGAAACATTGCCATCCTACACATCCTCCAAAACATTCCCATGTAGGCGACAACTGAAAGTTGCTGGGAATGTGTTGTAGCAGTCACTGGTAGAAACGCCGCATGCGTTTGTGTTTGACAACAAGCGCACAAGAGCTATTAACGAACGACGCGAGAACGTACGCGCAACGGAGACAAAGACCGGATAATGAATGCCTTCTCGCGCGCGTGCGGGCGTACCATACAACTCGACAGTCAGTTTTCCAGCTTTCCATCCCGACCGGACGCACGTGCTCGTGAAAGATGATAACTACCCTCCCCCTCCCCCCTTTGCCCAACGCACTCGCTCGTGAAAGCTGATAGCTAACCAACGTCTCCCGGCGCTGGCTGTCGAAACGGATGTCTCTCACACAAAGCGGGCAGGCGTTCCCATAAAACCTCGCCTGAGGTTTAACACGCCCCACCGGTCCGTCGGGTCCATACAACCCGCAAGGTGTTGTGCGTCCGTCGGCAGCGGCGGCCGCGCCGTTACTCGCTGGCTCAGTTCCGCTTTTGCAGCGCAGTGCGATTGTGCCGGCCGACGACCCTCTGAAAGATGATGCGCCCCTTCCCGCCCGCATCGCGCCTGCTGGCCAAACCCGCTGCCGGCCGGCGCCGCTTTGCCGTCCAGCGCGCCACGTCGCTCACGGGCGTCGAGACGTCGGCGCTGACGTCCAAGTACACCGTCGTGGACCACGAGTACGACGCGGTGGTCGTCGGGGCCGGTGGGGCCGGTCTGCGCGCCGCCATGGGCTGTGCCGAGGCCGGGCTCAAGACCGCCTGCATCTCGAAGCTCTTCCCCACGCGGTCGCACACGGTGGCGGCCCAGGGCGGCATCAACGCTGCGCTCGGGAACATGTCGCCCGACGACTGGCGGTGGCACATGTACGACACGGTCAAGGGCAGCGATTGGCTCGGGGACCAGGACGCGATCCACTACATGTGTCGCGAGGTGCGTTGGCCGTGGCTGGTTGGCGTGTGGTGTGCGCGTGGTGTGGTGGTGGTGTACCGTACCTCAACTCACGGAAATGGTGTGGTCCACAACATTTGTTTATTTGTTTGGTTGTTTGTTGTTTGTTTGTTTGCCAATGTGCGTGGGGTATACATACGTATAGGCGCCTGAAGCAGTGCGCGAGCTCGAGGACTTTGGGCTGCCGTTCTCCCGCACGGAAGAGGGCAAGATCTACCAGCGCCCGTTTGGCGGCCAGAGCCTCGAGTTTGGCAAGGGCGGCCAAGCGCGTCGCACGGCGTGTGCGGCCGACCGAACGGGCCACGCGATGCTGCACACGCTCTACGGCCGCTCGCTGGCGTTCGACACGTCGTACTTTATCGAGTACTTTGCACTCGATTTGATCATGAACGACGCAAACGAGTGCGTGGGGGTCATGGCGTTCAACATGGAAGACGGTACGTTCCACCGCTTTCATACGAACAACACGGTGCTGGCCACGGGGGGCTACGGACGGGCCTACTTTTCGTGCACGTCGGCGCACACGTGCACGGGAGACGGGACAGGTATGGCTCTGCGTGCCGGTGTCCCGTTGCAGGACCCCGAGTTTGTGCAGTTCCATCCCACGGGCATTTACGGTGCTGGCTGTTTGATCACGGAGGGATCTCGTGGTGAAGGCGGTATCTTGCGCAACTCGGAAGGTGAGCGCTTTATGGAGCGGTACGCGCCTACAGCCAAGGACTTGGCTTCGCGCGATGTCGTGTCGCGTGCCATGACGATGGAAATTCGTGAAGGCCGTGGCGTGGGCAAGAACCGCGACCACATTTTTCTGCACCTCGACCATCTGCCGCCTGAGCTGCTACACGAGCGTCTACCGGGTATTTCGGAGACGGCTGCCATTTTCGCCGGCGTGGACGTGACCAAGGAGCCCATTCCGGTGCTACCTACGGTGCACTACAACATGGGGGGTATTGCGACGAATTATCTGGGCGAGGTGGTCGTACCTGACGTTGATGGTCTGCCGGAACCTGGCAAGATGTATCCGGACAAGATTGTGCCGGGTCTGTTTGCAGCCGGTGAAGCTGCGTGTGCATCGGTGCATGGCGCAAACCGCTTGGGTGCTAACTCGCTGCTCGACCTGGTGGTGTTTGGCCGCGCGTGCGCTCAGCGCATTGCCGAGCTGACGAAGCCTGGTCAGGCGAAGCGCCCGATGCCCAAGGATGGCGGTCTGAAAGCCATTGAGGATGTGGATCGGCTGCGATACGCCGACGGTGGCATTCCCACAGCCGAGCTGCGTCTAGAGATGCAGAAGATGATGCAGGAGGATGCTGCTGTGTACCGCACGCAGGAGTCGCTGGCAGCTGGCAAGGACAAGATCGACGAGGTGGTGCCCAAGTTTGGCGACATCAAGGTGACTGACCGCTCGCTCATCTGGAACACAGACTTGATGGAGACGCTGGAGCTGCGTAACTTGCTTGCATGTGCAGCCTGTACTATGCATGGAGCGGAAGCTCGTAAGGAGTCTCGTGGTGCTCATGCCAGAGAGGACTTCACGGAGCGCGATGATGACAAGTGGATGAAGCACACCATCGCTTATCACAACGAGGAGGGCAAGACGCACGTCGCGTACCGTGCGGTGCAAGACCAGACGCTGGACGAGAACGAGTGCAAGCACGTTCCGCCTTTCGCGCGTGTGTACTAGGCTCTAGTCTGTGCTTGGTGTGAGCAATGGGAGCGTGTTGCTCACATTATCACCAAGCGCGAGCTTGCCAATAAATAAGACCTAAGGTTGATACACAAAATTCTGAACTAGGCGATGGAACGATACAGGCGATTTTTTGCAAATCTGGTGGGTTTTGTCGTCGACCCAGCAGCACTATCTCCTGCCAGTGACTATCGCAGCTAGCGCCGCATGTGCGTCATTCTCGGACGATTGAAACCATGAGCAGCTCATTTCCTTGAGTGATATACTGAGGTCGATATTAACAAACGTCGCACCTGGCCATCTTCAGATTGTTTGTAGAGTTGTTGAATGTGAGGAAACATAAGTGTTGTCGAACTTGGTGTGCCATATGAGTCAGAGCTTGATCGGACCACGTGGGTCTACCGTAAGCTGTTTTTCGCAGAAACTTGTGCCGCTATTCGTGACAACCACACTTCCAGCGCCTGTTTCGTAACTTTCGTGCTCAGCCTAGAGCTTTTATGCCGTCATAGAGACAGCATCGACCCTACAAGTCGATTCATCACCAAAGAAAACGCATGGTTTACCGTTCTTTCCCTCGTAGCAAATAAGGCGACAACAAGATTGAGTTCAAGTGGGTTGCGCTAACACACTACAAAAACGGACCTCACACCAACTTCTCCGCTACCTTCACTTGTGAAAGCGTTCACGTAGAATTCTGAACATTCGCTTTCCAATAACCTGCTTGCGCAACGGGTGCAACGGTTACCGTTTTGAAACAACGGCGTTTGTACTGTTCCATGGCAAGGAGTGTGTCTGAATCTCATTTTGGTGTGACGGTGAGCAAGGCATGAACCGCTGAGTGTCGGTTCTATCTAGAAGTCGCCAAAGTATCTATATTCGATACAAAACAAGCAGCACGCGTATCGGCTCGCTCTTGAAGCGCAGCTATTAGCATCATACATATGCACAAGACACGTGATGACTTACGATGTCAGATCCACCAGCAGATGTAGTTTGTTCCTCAACGTCGTGCCATATTTGCCTCACTCAAAACAACATTCGCAAGGGTCCTCTTCTGCCGCAACTGAAACCTTTGAAGCAGTGGTCGACGCCGATCGTAGCCACTTGAGTACGGATGCGATGCCTCCGTTTCGATTCGGCTAGCCGTCTACGATATCACTGTCAGTATCTGCGATCGTCAGCACTCGATTTTGTCACTTACATAAGGGTCTGGTAAAGTTGAAAACCGATGACAGAACTCTCTCAACCGATGACAGTACTCTGTTAGTGGTAGCTGCAGAGCAAAGATGTCAAATTGTAGGCACACCACGCGTGGCAAAGCCCTTCGACTTTCGGAGGCTCAGCCTCATGGCTGCAGTGATATTGACGAAGCTTGATGACGCTACTGATGTCACTGGATCGATACCACAGCTCTTCAACCTTTTTGCATTGGGCCATGCGCGTCACTGTCGAAATGAATGTGCCCCCGCACTCAACCGAAAGTCGGTGCGAGTTTGGCGCCCTTGCTGAGGACGTTCGTGCACCGTCGATAGACATTGCAAAAACGAATTACGTAGCGGAGTTACGAGACCGTGCACTTACAGTAACAGGCTAGCGTTTTTCTACAACTTGCTCATGGAACAGTACGACAAAGAGACATGGGCATCTCAAAGCTGGCAACTTTAAATTGATGCAAACAATGATGTCCGTCTCGGTCCTTCACATCCGACTTGATACAAGATGCGGCAATCTCCCAGGTAGCACAAGCACGATGATGTGGAAAACACGAAGCATCGTTCGTCTGTAGAGCTTAAATTCGTCACTCCCTATACACGAGGGCGATGTACCCTAGTACTCTCCCACTACACAAGAGCAATCACACATTCGGCAGGAAAAATCTTCGATTTCTCCAGAACGCTCTGATCGTATTTGAACCCGCTACGGCATATCTCTGTGCGCAGATCGAGACTCGATACAAGCAGCTTGCCCCTTCTGCCGCACTGTCCGCTTATGATTCGGTGTGAATGGCCATTGTTTACCTTGCAGCACTTCAAACGTGCAGACTATCCAGTCCGTCTACATGAATGTGCATGCCATCTCGCCACGGGCTTTTTATGAAGACGAGGTCCATGAACATGTAGTGTGTCATACGGAATACCATGGACAGCTCGAGATAGTGCGTGGTACAGATCACTATTTAAACATGTCTGCACTTTGTCTGGTAACAATGAAGAGCTACCTAGCATAATATGCATTGTGTCAACATGGCGATATCGGTCGATCGCCTGTCGCTCATGCGTACTACTATACGTGGATGTTGCGCTGCAAAACCACCGCACACACAGCTGACAACAATGGCGGCTATCTGAAGCAACGACAACAAAGACACGCTTTTTCTTCTCAACAAAACGTGGCGATGAATGGAAGCCAGACGCTTTGTCTCTCTGATAGCATAAGAGGGGTTGCCGGAACGCGAAACTTCGCTCGTCAACAAATACCCTAATTTTGCAGGAGTTTTGTAATATACAGTTGCGAGAATAGGCAAAAGCGTTGGCTTTCGCAGGTCGTTCGTTGCTAGTATGTTGTTGTTGATCCGTTCTATTGTTGTGTGCAACAGTTTAGTGAATGACATCAACAGCCATGGTAAGAAAGACGTATTTTTGTGGGTTTTGGCTTACAGCGCCAAGGTGTCGTGCGCAAGGCTGGCTCGCAGTAGAAGGGTTCCAGCTTCACATACTCCGTTCTAGCGAATACTACCGCGGTCAACACCACCTTCTAAGCCAACTCACTATCTCCCGATGTGAAGCCATCGCAAGGATCCACCTCGACAAGTGAGGTGCACTCTACGTCTTTGGATGACCACGCGAAGTGTGAGACGTCGACTTGGATCGCCATAAACGACTGCGCTTTTGATTGTTGGAAGTCGACTTGGATCGCCCCAAATCATTTGGCATTCGTCTGTGGGAAGTCGACTTGGATCGCCACAAATCGTTAGGCCGACTCCTTTGTAAAGTCTTCAGCTGATCTGCGACAGGGTCAAGTTCGGGATACCTGCCAATCTCCTGAAGCAAGTTATTGCTTTGGATCTCCAGTCCCATGTATTGTCGTAGCAGCTTCACTGGCTCTTCAAAAGGATGAGAGTCGGCCATGTATCGCTTGTTGTATCTGTCAATGTATCTCAGCCACAAAACTGGATACGCTGGCAACGATTCAACAAAGTGTGGCATGTCCAAGTGCAGTATCTCGAACACTTGTTCAGGGCTTACCTTTTCCTCAAGCCACACGTCCATCAGCAATTTGCTGGTAGCATCTGACGGGTCACTGCGAAATAGCAGGTATAGCATCTGGTCGGCGCGATCCTCCATGTCCGGTCGAAGTTTTGCGATTAGCTGAACCAATCTCTTCATTCGTACCTCCTTCTCCAAAGGGTCGATTTCGCTTGTGCTATGAGCGTACGTATACTTGACCAACAGCTTGACTACCTCTTCATCGCCGAAGGGAAGATTCTGAGCTCGGTGCATGTCGATGTACCGAAGCCAAAGCTTGAACCGATTAAGATCGACGGACCACTTTTTCGTCCCTCCGACGCGCAGCTTGTCGAATGCTTGTATTGGGTGAACTTGCTTGCTTGACCACTCCCTCATTTTCCAACTACGCCAAAGATCCATGGCACCAGTCCATGACCCAGGAATCGATCTCTCCTCGCTCCTCTGGACTGCACTGTTCGTCTTGCCCACCGATGAGTTGCGGTCGGCCTTATCAACAAACGGCACGTATGGCGACGAGTAGTATCCTGCGATGGACGCGGTCTCGCTTCGGCTTGGAGGAGTACTCGGGTTGGAAGAAGCGTCGGTGGTCTGGTTACTGCCGACGATCGTTGACTCAGCTGTTCCCCAACAGAAGGGGATGAAGACCAAGACCACGAGACAATGCATGTGCACGTGTCCCCAATGGTGCTTGTTGGACGATTTTATCGGAATGAGAGAAGCAGAAGGAAACCTTCTTGGTAACAATGCGTGGACCGATCCGAACGTCCGTCTCACGGGTAGTGTTTGTCACAGAGGAGCGTGCGCGTACTTTTGGTCACTGCGAAGGCAAACTGTCAACAGAAACAGGCGACTGCCTTGCGTGTGAATCCCTTTCGATGGGATGGTCAAACGAGCCGATGGCGGATATCTAAAGGTCTCATTCCATGCGGACTCACCACTATGGGGGCTCAGTTGAGCGGAAGCCATCGCTTTCACGTAACCTTGCAGCTCTGATAAAAAGTGACGCTCCTTGTGATATGAGAAGGCACACTGTCGTCGATCAGTCGCGGCGATTGTAGTGGGAGCGCCCCTATGTGCTCGTCCATGTCGTGCTCACCCTTTGCTTGAGATTTGGATACCTCAAGTGCGTGCGAACAACAGCAGAGTATCAGCCGTTCTGCCACATGCCCAAACTTTTGTCCGAGGGTTTGCAGGTGTAGAAAAGCGAGCACTTGCCAATGATACGGTCCGGAATGATGCGAGGAGATCACGGACTCTTTTATGCGTGAGCGTACTCTACTTTCAGCACGACTACTAGCAATGTGACTCGTGCGCGTCAGTTATCTGTTGTTCTTTGTTCAGTACAAAGCTGAGCGCACACGACTGCCTGCTCATTCCAATCGGTAAGCCAATAGCTTCATTCCAAGTGTTGAAGCCGAGCAGGGCGTTCGCATTCGCTGTTTGCACTGCCGGGCACGAATGATATGGATATGAGCGGAAGCTACGAACGAGCATGTGTTACTATCCGATCTTCTCACTATGGACCGACGATGTAGTAATGGCTAAGTTTGAAGCGTAAATGGCACAGGGCGAGCCCTGACGAATGATTGCAGGACATCATTTTAAACGTCAATACATATTTTCTCGTCGATAGTATTCAGCAACATTAGCTCAGCGGATAGTATCAGCATATTGGATCAGCAGGAAAAATCGGCAATAATGACTCCGGGATAATATCCAGCATTGTATTATCTGGGGTGAAAGCTGAAT